GGAGTGAACGATATGGAAGAAAATGCAGAATAGAACCAGTGAAGAGCAGAGGTGCCATAGGCACAATCAGAGAACACTGTATAAACATCAGAGGTCCGCGGTTGTTCAACATCCTCCCAGCAAAGATAAGAAATATTGCCGGAACAACCGTGGACATCTTCAAGAGGAAACTAGATTTATTCCTCCAAGGAGTGCCGGACCAATCGGGCTGTAGTGGGTATGTGGGCCTGTGGGCCGCTCCAAGCAACAGCCTAGTGGACCAAACCCTCACAAGTCGAGCCTGGCCTCGGGCCGGGCTTGGGGAGTAGAAGAACTCCCAGAACCCCATTAACCAGGTATCAACCAGGGTGAAAATATTCCAGTCCCCCTTATCAAATTGCAACCAAGTGGGAAGAGACGAGAGCGGAAGGAAAAGGAAACAAGGATGGGGAAATGGTTACTGTTATGGAAGTCATCATACTCTCTCCATGACAGATCTATATAAATGAGAGGAGGAGGAGGAGTAAGATCATGCAGGATAGAGTGCAAGAGTCGACATGAATCAGCTCGCTGGAATTCAGGAGAAACAAAGATAGGACAAAAGGTTCTGGAAGACTGTCTTGGGCATTTGTAAGGACACTGCCCCAGAGGGCATATTAACAGTTAAGATCTCCTATAAAAAAGCAGGGGCTCAGGCATCGAGTCTAAAAGGTGTTTATGATCGGGATGAAAAATCAAGACATATGGAGATAAATGTATACAATTTACTGTACTCACAATGATATCAGTGACAGTGGAAGGAAAGTTTACTGAAAATACCCTGCATTGAATGTAATGAAACACCATTTTCTGGGTGAGCCCCGGGAGCTAATCGGGCTAATGTATGTTATATTAGACCGAGACATTTGCTAAGGAGTTCAGACCTACCAGGGACCAGCACCAGAACCTGGCCCCTCCAGAGAGGTTTCAGGGAGCAATGGCCCTGGAAAACTCCCTTGTGCTTGGGGGTTTTCCTTATCTGCCATCGACTGGGGTTAGGCACCCAGAAAGGTAGGCATAACAAAAACCCCACATGGTAAAAACTAAAACAGAAAACCGAAGAGAGGTAGAAAATTCCCTACAATCCCAAGGAAACAAGCAAACATCACACTTTACTGCCACACCGATCATCCGTGTAGCCCTCCCTGCCCAGAGAGGGGAAGGGGGGGCCCCAGACCTCACCACGCCGGCTGACTAGCATCAGTTCGGAAGCTAAGCTTCAATCAACGAAAAAAAAAACGCCGACCGGTGGAAGGGAGGGTTGCCAGGGAGCCTCTGAAGCTAACCCAGAAAATGGCATTTCATTACATTCAACGCTGGTTTTCTGTGGGAAGCCCCTACGGCTCCCTGGAGCTTCATACCCAACGAGAAGGAAAAGAAAGGACTGACCCGGGAGGCAGCCTCCACAAACATCACAACGCGAAGCCGAGACAACAGATTGCAACCTGCGACCCAAGGCAACACAAGAACGCACAGAAGCAGACACGCGCACAAAGGATGGGCGGCCAGGAACCTGTGCAACCTCCAAATCCTCGCACCCGAAATGAGCCCTAGACTTCACCAACATGGCAGCGAAAGCTGCAAATGTCCGAACAGCACGGGCACAAGGATAGATCGCAGGCTGGTAGATTTAAAAACTCTGCGGACGACCTGAGAGGCCCGAGCCCTGAAACAGGGAACGAGGGGAACCGGATCAACCCAAAGCGCATCCCCAGTCATGGTACGCAGGTAACGGCAAAGAGCCGCAACTGGACAACACATGACACACCCCCGGCCGAACGAACCAAGCATCAATAACCCAAGGACCCTTCCGGAAAGCAGTTGTCTAGACCATCGCCAGAAGGACGGAGAAAGGCTGCGAACATACAAACCTACCACTAGTACCAAAAGAGCAAAAACCTCTGCACCGGAAGCTTCCCGACCCAACCCGCAGAGGCCCATGCCAACAACATATGGCCAATGAAAAACAATCTTGAACCGAAGGGGCTACCACAAAGTGAGAAGAAAGATAAGAGGGCTCCCTGATCAAGGACCAGAATGGCTCAGGTGACGCATGAGCAGGCTGGAGGTGAAACAAAACACGAGAAAGCGTACGGAATGGGGCGGATGTGATGTCCACCCCGAACGCAAGCCAGAGCGGTTCCGCCAGCGCCGCACGATACGAGGCGACAGTAAGAAGCATCAAATAACAGTCCTGAAAACCCAAGAAAGGCCAACACAACCTGATGCGAAAGAGAAGACAACCTATGAAGAGCATGAAAATGGCGAATAGAAACACCAGGAATGTCATACTGTCGCCGAGACGAAGCTCGCAGGTGGGACACCATTAACGAAGCCACCTGATCACCATAGAGATGGTGATACACCTGCGTCACAATACCAGATGCGAAGAGCCGAGGAGAAGGCCGAACCAGTCACGTACAGAACCGGTCCGACCTGCTGAAAGAGGCGGAGGTGCGGGAAAACGCCCCGGGTTCGGTCACCTATTAAGCAGCATCTGAAAATAAAGCTGGGCCGGCCACCAACGGACCACGAGGACTACTCTCCTAGGGAATGGACTCCAACCGAGCCAGAACCCAAAGTAACAGCTGGACCGGGACTGGACCACCATCCAGGAACAGGTACCCCCACTTCGACAAGTCCTGCCGAAAGGCATCCACCGTCCACCGTGAACACCTCGTAGGCGGGTAAGGGCGCCATATACAGTAGAATGGGAGATGCCGAGGCCACGCCGACGCGAAGATGTCCATGGCCAGGAGTCCATACGTATGGCAGAGCCAACGGAACGAGTCGGCGATGACCGGCCAATCCGCGAACAGAGGAATGAACAGAGACAAGCTGTTGACCAAACCACACACTAGAAGGTGAAGGGACGACAACATTTCGGTCCGTCCTGGACCATTCTCAAGTCGATCAATCGGTTTAGATTCAGCTACTCGGATCAAAAAAATGCAAGTAGTCTGGTCAACATAATTTAGCCACGTTATTGTGACTCATCGCCTGCAGAGACAAGCTGTCCGCCAAGACGCAGGACACACCCCGGACATGAACCGCATGGTTAGCCAAACCCAGAGAATCCAGCAAACGAGGAACTTGAAGGGACCAACCCCAAAGGTCAAAGACCTAAGAGAAACCCCGTGGTTCTGGCAATGAACCACCGGTGAACAGTCCGAATGGAGCTGGATGGTAGAGCAAGTGACCCGAACCCTACAAAGCACAAACCAGAGAGCCACGAACTCCCGAAGCGTGCTGTGAGCCCGACGGACGGACAGACTCCACCATCCCTGGCCGACCTGGTGAGCAATGGTCACAAAGCAGCCCCAACCGAGAGATGACCTGTCCGTGAACACACTGAGCGAAGGCTCGGGAAGGTGCCAAGGCACGGAACCCCGAAAACCCCAAAGAGGAAGCTGGTGGCGCAGCACCAACACAAGATCCCTGGAGGACAAACCCAACAATTGCAAGAGAGGTGGAAGGGTAGTCCCCAAAGGAACCAAACAGACGTCAAAGCCAAACCCGACCCTGCGGGCAGACCAGTACATCGAAGTTAAGACTCCCGCATAACTGCTCGAGCAACCGCCGATCTGGGACCCCCTCATAATCAGCCGAAGGCGGGACCACAGCAGTAGCAACACTTCTGGAGGGAAAGACAAGGAGCTGCCCAAGAGCCCTAAACAAGACCCAGCTAGGTCCAAACCTGGGACGCAAAACAGATGGAACGGCCTCCAGATCACCAGGAAACCGAACCTGGCGATCTGGAAAGAACCACACCCCTGGCGAGCAGACAAGTGGACCGACTGGGAGCTCACACCAGCCAGTCGTCGAGGTAGGCTAGACACCGAATCCCGAGCAAACGCAGACAGGGCACCAAGATCCGGTAAAGATGCATGAATACACCAAGTGCCAATTGTAAACTAGGGAAGGCAACAAAAGCGGCAAGCCTGAAGCCCCACCACCAACTCTGCCAGTCCCGGAACCCTAGAGAGGAATGTGCCAAGAAGCGACCCGGAGGAACTTTTCCTAGTTCCTGTTGGGGCCAGGAACTCGGCCCCAACAGTCCTCCAAAAAGGGCAAAGAATCCAGGGCGCAGACTGAACAAGTCCAGAAGAACCGCAGATCCGCAAGGCCCATGTCTGCATAGAGCAAATGGAAACCCTGGAAGGATGGGGCGGATCGACCACGTCCAAATCCACCCTCCAAGATGACATGCCAAAGCGTAGGGAAAAAAGCCCACCCTGCCAGCCCCGAACCCCCCAAAGGGGGAAGAAGCCATCTGCCGCCACCAGAGGCCAGAAGACAACCAAAAACGCCCACTAACTGCGGGACCAAGTGAGAGCCAACAGAGCAAGCTGCTCCCCCAGCCGCCCCGTCAACAGCGAAGGGAACGGAGCCCCTTCCGAAAGAAAAGGTGTATGTGTGTGTGTATGTGTGTATGTGTGTGTATATGTGTATATGTATGTATATATATATGTATATATATATATATGCATATATAATATATATGAATATATATATATATATAAATATTATATATATATAAATATTATATAATATATATATATATTATATATATATTATATAAATATATATATAAATATATGTACTCACTACAACAAGGAACCACCCACTGAGCATAATCTAATTAATACTATCATTCTATCCTTGTGTTCAACATCAGCCTGGATACAAAAAATCAAGCTCCAAGTAAAAATGAAACCAAAATAATTAGCTAAGAAGTTTTGTTTATTAATTTTTCAATTATTTTTTATATTTCATATTTTAATTGAATGTTTTATATTTTATAATTTCACTATTTCACTATTGGTAGAAATTAAAGGGTTAATGCTCTTAGATAAGATAAAAATAGATTGGCTGATTGTTGTCGCCAAAGAAAATTATAGCTGCCCTTTTTCCACTGGTGACTCTTTCTTCTAGCCACTAAACGTTCAACATCAGAACTTGACCATATGCTACATTTTTACCTCCTTTGATGGGACACACAGAGGTGTGCCAGTCTGAAGTATTCCTTGGTCTACAGTCACACCCAATACAATTGGATCACGTTTGTTGAAAATTGCCTGAAAAATGATAAAGATTATTATGTAGTAGTTTTAAAAATGAAACACGTGTACAGTCTACTAACACAAGCTATAATTTTTACTCCATTACAGTATATATCATCGTTCTGTGTTGCAACACTAGCGTTCTGTAAGCTTATTGTGTTGTGTTAGTCAAGGGAGTTATATTAGTTACTTTCTAGTAATCACTCTTCTTTATCTATTCTTTGATAAATAATTTTAAATCTTTCATTTAACATGGCTATTTCTGCCATGTTTTGGTACTGTAATTATCTCCTGACAAGTAATTATCAAAAGAAGGCACCAAGCCAGGAAGACTATGTAGCACAATCAAAGTTGCAGGATTTTCAAGAGGTGCTAAATATCACTTAAGATGTCAATATGAGAACAAAAGCGCATAAGGTAAGCAATATCAAAGTTATCGGATTCTCCAAGGATTTTATCAAGGGACAAATGACAGCGAGGGACAGCTGAGAAGCAAGACACACAAATGTCCTGAAAATCAGGACATTCAACAAGGAAATGTACGACCATAAGAGGGACAATGCAGTTTGAACAACAAGGAAGGAGCAGGGCAGTGCTCCATTAAGTGGCCATAAGTTAGAAGTGAATGGCCAATATGTAACTTTGCAATATGTAATCCCACCACTTCGTTAACAGTGGGAGGAGTAAACCCAATGGGCCAGATTACCTTTAACCACTGCACTGCTTTGCATTACAATATGACGCCCCCTGTGGGTGTGCTGAAAATTAAAACAACCAACGTTGAATGTAATGAAATTACATTCAACGCTGGTTGAATGTAATTTCCCACCGCCATTTTCTGGGGGAGTCCCGGAGGCTCCCCGGAGCTATCCAGGCTGAATGGATATGTATAACTTTCTGGCATCAGCCAATGTGCATGGAGTTCTTGCCTACCGGGGACCACGAGCCAGAACCTAGCCTCCCTCAGAGAGGCGAGAGGAGCAATGGCCTATAGAAAATCCCATGTGGTTGGGAGCATTCTATGTCTGCCATCGACCGGGTCTGATACCCAGAAAGGTAAGGGGTCCCAAAACAAACCCCTATTCTGGTGAAACTATTGATACCAAAAGCTGAACGAGTGGACAGAACTCCCTAAACGAAAATTAGCGAACTAGCATGACGTCATCACGTTGCTGCGCCGCTGATGCGCAACTCCCCCTTCCCGGGAGGGGGAAGGGGGAGCCCCAGACCCCCGCACCGGCGATCCAACTACCAGTTCTTAGGCTGGATGTCAAAGTACATGAAAAACACCGCCAACAGGAGGGAGGGAGGGATGCTGGAGAGCCTTCGGGACTCACCCTGAAAATGGTGTTTCATTACATTCAATGCTGGTTTTCTAGGGGGAGCCTCATTGGCTCTCCAAAGCTAACTACCCAAAGACAAGGAAAAACAGAGACTTACCTGGGAGGCGGTCAATCTGGGGGAGTCACCCCTCAACACGAAGTCAAGACAACTGGCTGCAACTGCCGATCCAAGGTAACACAGGCCCAACTAGGTCCAGGAACATTCACGAGGTAGCGTGCAGCCAGAACCCTGTTCGACCCCCCAAAACCCCATGCCCGAATGTCAACCCAAGACGGCAGGCAGCAAACTTACGAATGTCGTGGGCACGGGGATTGACTGCAGGCTGGCTAGACTTAATAACCCTGAGGACGACCTGAGAGACCCGAACCAGGGAACAGGGAAGGAGGGAAACCTGGTCAACCCAAAGCACATTCCCGGCAACCAAAGCCGTGGCCCTGCAAATAATGGCGGAAAGCCGCAACCAGACACAACACATGATGCACTCCTGGCCTGACCAACCAAGCATCAGGACCCCTCCGCAAACCAGTCGACTTATTCTTCGCCAGAAAACAAGGAGACAGCTACAACCGAACAAATCTACCATCAGGACCAAAGGAGCAGAAACCTCTGCCCGAGGAGAGCATGAAGCGCCCTGACTTGACCCCCAGGCCAATGCCAACAGGAAAAGAGCCTAAAGAGAAACAATCCTGAACTGAAGGGGCCACCACAAACTGAGGAGAGAGAAAAGAGAGCATCCAGTCCAAAGACCAGGACGGCTCAGGAGGAGCATGAGCAGGCTGGAGGTGAAACAACGCACAAGACAGCTTGCAAAACGGGGCAGAAGTAACAACAACACCGAACGCAAGCTGAAGCAGCTCTGCCAGCGCTGCACGATACAAGGCGACAGTATTCGGCATCAGATGACGGTCCTGGAGCAACCACGAAAGAAGGACAAAACAACCCTATCAGAGACCGAAGAACACTTATGCAGTGATAAGAAAAACCATAAGGACCGCCAGGAAACTTCATACTGCTGTTGAGATGAAGCACATAGGTGGGGGGACCAACAAATAAACCACCTGTGCCCCATACAAGTGATGATAAACTTGAATCAGAAACTCCAGATGTGAAAACTCAAGAAGAATGAAGCTGCCTCATACCGGGCTGGACCGATTTGTTGAAATAGGCAGAGCCACGAGAAGCCCCTACTGACACCGAGCAAGCAGCACCTGAATCCAAGGCTGGGCTGGCCACCAAGGAGCCAGAAGGACGACTCTCCCTTGGTAAGTTTCCAAGTGAGCCTGGACCCGGAGTAACAGCTGAACCAGGGGAAAAGAGGCACAGGGAACCCCACCTCGCCCAGTCTTGCCGAAAAGCGTCAACCCCGACAGCCTCGCAGTTGGCGAAGGGCACCACGTATACCGGGAGACGCCTCGACCACGCCGACATGAAGAGATCCACTTCTGGGGCCCTGAAAATCTGACGAGCTAGGAAAGAAGCAAATCCATGGCGAGCAGACATGCAGACTGGCTGGGAGTCGAAACCAGCCAGTCGTCGAGGTAGGCCAAAACTTGAACACCCAACAGACGCAAGTGAGTCACCACGACCCGAGTAAGCCGTGTGAAAATGCGAGGTGCCAGATTCAAGCCGAATGGAAGGCAACGAAAGCAGTAACCTTGACGCCCCACAACAAAACTGAGCCAGTCCCTGAACCTTGGATGAATCGGGACGTGGCAATACGCATCCTTGAGGTCCAGGGGCACTATCCAAGTGCCTGGTTCCAACAGAAGATGGACCTGGGACAGAGTAGTCATCCGAAAGAAAGGGCAATAAACCCACGGGTTCAAACGGGACAAGTCCAGAATGAACCAGAGATCCACACAGTCCCGTTTCGGGACCGGAAACAGACGAGAAACCCACCTGAGGGACGAGGACGTTTAGACCACACCAAAGCAAATCCACTCCGAGACGACTCAACAGCGCAGGAGAGGAGGCCTGTTCCCACCAGCCCCGAACCCCCCGAAGGAGGAGTCACCCAACACCACTACAGGATGCCTGAAATGACTCAAAAAGCCCACAAATCGTGGGACCAGGCACGAGCGAACTGAGCGGGCCTCCCCCTCATCGCCCCATTAATGGGACGAACCGCGAAAGGCCCAACGCACCTTACGAGAACCTAAGCAGCGCACAGAGTGATCCCTGCGCTGATAGAAAAAGACGGAACCAGAGGCCGCACCTGCCCCAAATCTGGTACCACTGGACTACCATGACGGGAAGAACCCCGAGCCCTGGCACGACCCTTCCGTGAAGGGTCCCATGAGCCCCCCAGAGAACCAACAAGTCGGATATAGGATGGCAACTAGCCGAAGTCACCTGTAGATACAGCACCACAGCAGAGGACAAAAGGGCGAGGAGAACCGAAGAGTCAGGGCCCAAACAAATTCCAAAGCAGCAAGCAAGCACTGCCTGCTGACACGCGAGTCGAGAAAAAAAAAAAAAGCGAAACCGCATCCCACAGAAACGGCGTCAACAGCCTCAACAATACAGACAATGCCCACACCGCCGAGGGCAGCGCACCAGACCCAAAGGCGGCCCCAAGTGCCTCCACATCCAACTAAAGCCAATCCGAGGACAGCTCGAGGAGGGAGAAGAAATGCAGGCCCAAAGCCAGCAGGCCACATGTACGCAAATCCTCCGCGATCAAGGCAGCTGAAAGGAAAGGAACCTGCACATAAAGCTGCATCACACCAACATCCCATGGAAGGGCAGGAATGAACAAACAAGCATTGAGACGCTCAAAGTCGCCCCCCCAGGAAAACCTGCAACACCGTCTAAGCTTCCCTCCACTCAAGTGGGCGGGACCGACAGAATGTGTGCCAAGCCTCCAAAGAGAAGATCGGGCAGTCTGCCAATCAGGACGACTCTGGAATTTCATAACGATCCCAGTACAGACACGAAGATCCGTACATGAAGGAACAGGATCCATCACAAAAGCATAATCTGGGGTCGCGCAGGAGGTAAGCCGCAAGGGCTTCCCGCACCACTTGTGACGGGACGCGGGAAGTCAAAAATCTCCGGAAGGACGGGACTGAAGAACCCAAGGGATCATTAAGGGGTAAGAGGAGGGGTAGACGCCAAGTCCAACTCATACGAGGAGGGAGCAAAAGAGAACCCCCACTCCTTGTAACACCAAGCCCCGCTCCAAGGGTAGAAAAATCCAGGTGGGGTTCAATGGGGCCCAAGGCACCCCAAGTCAACCCCTCCTCTGTTCTGGGGGCCTCACCCTGAGGACATAGGGCTGAGCAGGCCTCCAAACCCCCCACATCTAAAGAAAAAGCGAGAGCCGCTGAAAAGGCAGGAACGAAGGGGGGCCCACTGCTCAGACCCAGAAGCTCCGGCTGGAGGACCAGGCTTGAACGCCTCTGCCACAACCCCAGGAGACCCCCCCCCCCCCCGAGGCCACCCGAGCCTCAACACCAATTAGACTCCGAAATCCTCAGACACTTCGGAGCCGAAAGCAAGGGTGGGCAACAGGGTGCACAACAGAAGGGGAAGGACTAGATAAGTCGGACGGAACCAGAGCCGAAGTGACTCCCACCCTCAAGTCCGGGTCCTTATAACCAAAACAGGGCAATCTCAGGGCCTCCGGGCCGCAACCAACCTAGTGCGTTGCAGCAACCTAAATCTAGCATGCAATGCAGCAGCTGCCTGCATCCTTGTTGTTTGTATGTGCTCCAGTTTACCCACGATACTGAACATGACATGAGGGTTATCATGAGGTAATTTTAGAGCTTAGCGTCCATGCGGCCTGGTCCTCGACCAGGCCTCCTTTTTGTTACACACACCTAGTAAGTAGCTAATAGCTGCTGTCTAACTCCCAGGTACCTATTTACTGCTAGGTAACAGGGGCATCAGGGTGAAAAACATTTTGCCCATTTGTCCCCGCCTCCATCAATCCCCGGTAGAGGCAGAGACAAATGGGCAAAATGTTTCTTTCACCCTGATGTCCCTGTTACCTAGCAGTAAATAGGTACCTGGGAGTTAGACAGCTGATACGGGCTGCTTCCTGGGTGTGTGTAACAAAAAGGAGGCCTGGTCGAGGACCGGACCGTGGGGACGCTAAGCCCCGAAATCATCTCAAGATAGCCCTCATATGTTCAGTAGCTTGGGTAAACTGGAGCATGTACAAACAACAAACGTCACACGACTCCGGGTCAAAAGAATCACTGACCCAACAGGCAGCATGGCAGAGGGACAACCAGTGAGTGTCGCCCTGAGTCAAGGAGACAGAGCAACCTTCAATCTCGCACAAAGCGAGAGGAGACTCAAGAGTCACATCTATCGGACCATGGAGCCCCCGCGGTGTTTCCCAGAGCCCTTAGCCTTCTTAACACGCTAAGGGAAGCCCAGGCAGGGTACTGCAAACCGACGCCCAAGTCTACCAAACAAACTTCTAAAAGCTAAACCACCTGGGATGTCTCATCTGTAATCAACAACCAAGGTAAGTACAACAGTTACAGAAGAAGACCATGCCATGACATATATGGCAGAGAATGAGGAAAATGTGTTGAAAGACCTTTCAACGATCTCCAAGCCTGTACAAGTTACTACTCGCCCCCGTGCTAAAACTTAACCACCTGTGTTAGTAGCCATTGTCCCTCAAGACGTACCTGGCCTCCTGCAAAATCTTGCAGCGAGTTAATCTTATACTCGCTCCATTATCTCATTATCTTAATAGCATAACTAATTAGCACTAATTACAGAGGCTACAATCCTTTCCCCAATTACAGGTACTACTCTTCTCATCTTGTTGGAGGGAGCCGAGGTGTAGTCACCATATAAGCAAGTGATATAAGAAATAGCAAACAGTACAATTTCCAGTCAAGAATGTAGCACTCGGCCTAAGCAGTTCTAATCGTCTCCAAGACGCTACAGCTTTGACACAAAACAGGCAGCAGACTAGACCGCATCGAGCTACAACGCTCTCCCACATAGAGCTACGTGACTCCGGCCACACTCAGCTCTCTGCTCTGCTCCAAGCTCCGTCTCAACGTCTACGACACTGCGGTATCCCGGACTACTAAATAAATATGAAACTCGCTAAACACTGTGTATCTAATCTACCCATCAACGTTACAATCTCAACCTGTCAGAGTTTTGTAAGTAACAAACTTCTGATGATTCCTTGAAACGTTGCTTTTATCTTGCTAACATAAGAGTGAAAGCATTCAAGGATTTTACTTAAAAGATAATAATCTCCAATACCATAAATATTGTCCTAGTAAGCTTAAGGATGAGGACAATTGGGCAGATGTGACTCAGTTATTCCAACATCAATTCGTAAGGACATCTTAACAGTAGCTCATGGTCCCCTTTCACTCTTGGCATCAACAAGACATATTCAATAATACTCCAAGACAATATTTGGCCAAGAGTATCTCGAGTGTAAAGAACTTTTGTAAATTCCACCCAAGGGCACATCCCAAGGGCGAAGACAACCACAAGCGAGTTAGTTCCCCAACTGGGGAGTGATTCTTGAATGCACCAGGGAAGATAACCCTAACCATGCAAGACCAGTATTTACAGAGCACCTAGGGAAGGTGGCCCTAGGAGCATGCTGCTCCAGTACTCGAAAACTCCTGACCACACGCACACATCTTTTTGTAACACAGCTGCAAGGGCGAAAACAAAATAAAACGGGAACATGGAGCCAGAGTGACAGTGACCACTCGGAATGTCATCAAAGAACTGACTGATGGGCGGCTCCCCCTTCCCCTGTGGGGGGGGGGTAACTGGACGAAGTTTTGCTTGTTTTCTTTGTGGGGGAGTTGTTTTGCTCTTTTGAGGATGCAGGTCACAATTCTCAGCAGTATGTTGTGGAATATGGAAGCAGAGAAAATAGGCCACACACAACCTATAAATTATGTATATATAAAAAAAGATAATTTTGATAAAGATCTAGGGATGGTTCTGGCTAGAAAACCATTACCTGAGGACCACACAAAGAACATGAGTGTTAGGAGCCTATGCTACCATTGCAAACTTATAAACTGCTTTTAAATACTGTACATGGATAGTGAAATATTGAAGAAATTATTCATAACCTTTGTGAGACCAAAATTCAAATATGCAGTGGTTGTATGGTAACCATATTTCAAGAAGAATATTAATAAACTGGAAAATGTGCTGACATGCAACAAAAATCGCTTCTGGAGCCGAAACACAAGTGCTATGAGGAGAGGCCAGAGGTGTTAAATATACCAAAGTTAGAAGACAGAAGAAAATACAATCACTATTTACAAAATATATATATATGATATGATATGATCACTATTTACAAAATAGCAATAGGAATCTACAAAATTTACAATGAATAATTCTTGAAATCTGCAACTTCAAGAACAAGAGGTCAGAGTCTTAAACAGCAAACAAAAGAGCTAAAAAAAAATTCAGAAAGTTCACTTATACAGAGTGGTGGATGGTTGGAACATCCACCAACGTTGGAATGAGTGATGAGAAGGTGGTGGGTGCCAGAACAGTCAGTAGTTTCAAAGCTTCATATGACAAAGTACAAGGAAGACAGAACACCACGAGCATTGATCTCATACTGTAACTACACAACAAACACATGAAAGCACATACATGTATACATAGGCCCACTATGCACTAGAAAATAAACTTTCTTAAAGGTAAAACAAGTTAATTAAAATCTGGTCCTTGCTTGCCAGGCAGACATGAAAGATGGACAGGAAAAATTTCTCTTGGAAAACCCCCAGACATATATATGGTATTGCCATCTAGTGACAGCCGGTAAATGACCTGGTTGGCTAAGTAGTTGTTATCTAGAGCACCCTTGGAGGTCTCTAATGCCAATGAGCTCCTTGAACAAGATTTGACTTTAAATGAATTAGATTGGGCTTTCTAGGTCATTCAGAATAGATGGTATACTCCAGTGCTCTTGTACCATTATAGCTGAAGTGACTGCTGGAAAGTTCCCTGCAACTCTGATAGGAGAATATTACCCTACCTAATTTCATGTTACAGTTTGTACTGACATAGTAGAATCTCACCTCAGGAAGAAACTGAATGAGATAGCTCAGAATTAGCAACAACTTATACATAACAAATACAGTAATTAATAATAATTCTTAAATATTACAAATAAAATAGAAGCCAAACCATTTTAACTCACCGTTGGAATTATCTTAAGCCGACATGGGAACACAGCAACGTTTTTGAATTCATCTTGTTTCTTCTTCTTGTAATCCTTTATATATTCCACATAGCGGTCTCCCAAATGGTATATGGTTTCCTCCGAGAAAATTTTTACCCCTTCCTAAATAAAGGAATTAAACTTTAGTAATAACAGAATATCAATATACAATTTAGTTTGTTATTACAGAAGCAGACCTGTGCTCATATGGGTACATGCATTTTTTCCTAGCATGTCTGTAGAATACAGTATTACAGATGGGTGAGGGGGAGATGGGTTATTTGTTTTCAGCCACGTTAAGAACATAAGAATAAAGGTAACTGCAGAAGGCCTATTGGTCCATACGAGGCAGCTCCTATTTTTAACAACCCAATCCCACTCATATACATGTCCAACCAATGCTTGAAACAATCAAGTCACCTCCAACACGTTATGCAGTAATTGGTTCCACAAATAAACAACCCTGTTACTGAACCAGAGTTTACCCAGGTCTTTCCTAAATCTAAACTTATCCAATTTATACCCATTGTTTTGTGTTTTGTCTTGTGTTGATACTTTAAATATCCTATTAATATCCCCTTTGTTATGTCCATTCATCTACTTGAACACCTCTATCATGTCACTCATAATATCTCATAATCATGGTTTTTGATTGATTGATGAAGATAATCATGATCATGACTCATTCTCTGCATAGGTGAGAGGTTGCTGTGCATAGCCCTATACATCTGAAAATAACATTCTAATCTAAACTAAACTAAAAAAAAAAAATCATGATGGCAGAATTAAAAAACACACTTGTCCACTTGTGCGATCCAACTTTTCAAATGAAGGAATTATTAATTGTAACCTGTGATAGAATGGGAAAGTTTTTCACCACTCTGTGAACTCTGTCCCAACATTGTAAGCAAATCTGCACATCCCCCGCTTTGGCGAAACAGAGCATATCGAAACGAGTGAGTAAATCCGGCCTGAAAAGTGTGCGACCAAGCCGGAGATTCGCTGAAATGAGGTGCACTGTATTTTTGTATCGTGCAGGGTAAGGTAAGAAGAATGTAGAGATATTGTGGATTGTTATCATCAGCATTATTTTAATAATTATTAACAGTGTATCTCATGTTTCTGACTGATTTTGTGGGTTCAAGTGACTTTTTATTTGACAGTCCGTATGGGGACTTAGATTTTTTCAAAGTCATTTGGGATTAACTTTTTTTCAGTGATTACTGTTTTTTGAAATTATTAGTCATTGGGGAGACTTAGTTTTTTTGAGCGACTACCTGTGACAAAGTTTCTCAAGGCCTGCTAAGTTACCCAATACTAAATACTTTAATGTTATACAGTCCAGAGACTTTGATATTGATATAGTCCATGGTGACTTTAGAGTTATGATAAAGTTCACATTGATTTAAGATTACAACTACTAACTTTAATGTATCGAAATGTAGTATAGTGTACCAGTGTTACTAAGTTTTATATACCGGTAAATTAAGTGGGTGACTAGTTTAACTTAACAATATCTAGCCAAGTCTAGTGTATCAATATTGAGTTTCATGTATCTTAAGCTTGATCAGTTTAACTTACCATCTAGCTGGAGTCTGAAGTGCCAATGATTACGAATTTTCGAGTAACTTGTACATACGTAAATAGTTTATGTTACTATTGATTTTCATCCAGTAAACTGTTGGTTCTTTTCTCATAGACTTTCTATATCCTTAGACTTACTTATTTAATTACTTGTGGCCAGGTGTGCCTAATTTCGAGAGTGGGAATCGACATCATGAGCTTCACTTGGGTTCTTAACAGTGAAGGCCTACTGTACTATTCTTAATAGTTATATAAAATTCAGTGATGTCCAAAATTTATAGCAATGATAGATACTTAAGCTTAGAGGAATGAAGTATACATCTAACTTACTTTGTCAGCCAATTCTTGTGCATCCTTTTCAACTTTAACATCAAAAGCAAGAATGACTGCATACATCGGGTCATGTTCCAACATAGCGGCTGCTTTCATCACATCTCTCTTAACTACTGGGCCAACACGAATACCAGAATAAGGTACACTGTTGGCCTTGAAAAATTCGAGAAGGGCTTCCAAGGCACCTAAAGTTGAAGCCTGAACATAAACACCTCGCTCCTTCACCTAAAAAAAAAACAAAAACTTCATACTATTCGCATAATTCATTACGATAAAAGTGAAGCATTTGGCATCAGCAACCCTTTGATTTATACATGCTATAATTTTTTTTTTTTTACAAAAGTGTGCCATTCTTCAGTCTTCAAAATACATACAGTATTTTTAATTTGTATATTTTGTGCACTCCGATTTCTAAGTGTGCTGCTTATATTTTACTACTGTGCAAATTAGAATGCACATTCGTAATACTACTGTACATACATAAAAACCAATTGGAAAAGTAAAGACAACAATTTAACTACAGAACATCAAAGCCCATTTACATAGATTTCAACAGAAAATATATTTTGGCAAAACAGTATTACTTATATTTAGTTTTCAATATAATGTAGTACTGCACTTGAGGTCAATAATACACTTACTGGAAATCTATCAGATGGCTATGTGTAAATTCAGTACATTAAGTCAAAATTTCATCTACAAATTAAATTTAGCATGGTGTTTCACTTCTTTAAGTTATTTGTAAATTAATAATACTTAGTTATTATAGAATATCTTTAAAAAATCTACTTTAATTATAATAATATACAGAATCCTATTCATGTTAAAATGTATATCACAAAATTTACAAGGCAAACATAAAAATACCATACAAGTATTTTTCAAACCATTTACCTTAATGGACCTCATAGCAGCTTTAAATTCCTTATCCACCTCTTCTTTCAGCAAATCAATTTCATCCTCATGGTATGCAACTTGAAGATTTAGTCCAGCAATTGCTTTTTCTAGGTCACGGGCAGCAATTTTCACACCCTGTGCAGCTGTAACTTCTTTAAATTCATCATACTGACCTTTCACTCTTATTTCTTTTAATGGTTTAGGCAAAAGTAAAGACCTGTAAGAAAAATTGTAATGCCAATCCATGCCTCCAATAAAATACAATTATCTACATAAATTGAAATTGTGCAAATTTGGTAATAATAATAATAACAACCATAAACATTTGAATGTGCATTACCAATTCAATTACAGCATCAAACATACAGTTTACTCCTAGTTGTGCACAATGGGAAAAATAATGTTCTCTTGGAATCAATCATTTTATTAAACAATTTTTTTTATATATATTACAGTGCAGAATTTTAAGGTTTAATAAAATAAAACTTACTTCAATTTTTTAATGTACTGTAACCCCGCGACTATCCGGGATTCGAACATCCGGAAAACGCCCTTATACGGCCAAAATCGTGATCGGATAAAATTATCACAATATCCGGCCAAAATGGCCACAGGAATCGGATAAAAGCTGGTTTGGCCGGATGAAAATTCGGCCATACCGTATTAATCCCGTCTGCCTGTGGCTCTTAGACGCATGGTGGAGGAGGTTGGGGTGGGGTGGGTGGTGTCGGGAGGGTGGGAGGGGAGCGTCGGGAGGGACCACCTGGGTACAGGAATTACCATTAATTTTAGAACAATTAATCATAGCCAAAACAAATGAAATAAGTACTAGTAATTATGTAATAACAAATAAATAAGTTTCCTAAAAGCAATGTGCACAGGCTGAAGTTTCCTTCAAAAATATTGTGAATTTTTTTCCTCCTGGTGGCCTACGTAACGTACTATAACTGGCCCAAGTGGACCCGTCCAACACTGGTCAACCCATGTGCTCCCGTCCCTCGTGTTATACATAGTGCTGCGCCATTAGTGAAATATTTTTTTAAATAGCTTTTTTATTTTCATGGTAACTTTGAACATTTTTGGCCAAGACTATGTCTGGTAGCAGCATCAATCCTTCTGGAGGTGTTAAGAGGAAGAAGGTTGTCCTAGCAATTAAAGACAAGTTACGCGTTGTTCAACCAGTGAGGCGCCACAGGCAAGCCAAGCGCCTTCAACAAGTGAGGCGCCACAGGCAAGCCAAGTGCCTTCAACAAGCGAGGCGCAAGCAAGCGCCTTTAACAAGTGAGGCGTCATAGGCAAGCCAAGCGCCTTCAACCAGTGAGGCTTCAGCAGCTGGCAGTCAAAACTAACTTTGCTTAATGAACTGTACAGTAATTTTAAGTGTTGTGTTAATATAGGTTACATAAATTGTTAAGAATTCTTAACTTCAAGATGTGTGGCATCAATCAAGAAGACGAACACCAACAAGGTAAGTTGAGGTTTCTAGTTGAATATTTAATAATTATATGTGGCAAGGCAATTCAAATTATGTTGTTTGTAGTATAAAAATAGTTGGAAATGGTCACTTTTGGACTCGTAGGTGAAAAAGTACCATTATCCGAAAAATGTGATAATCCGGCTGAGGGTCCTTCCCATATAGTCTGAATGATCGAGTGGAGACAGTACTTGCAAGAGGATATCACGATGTCTGTTTTTAAAATTTAGAAGTTGGATTCTACTGCTGCGCTACCAAAATGAGCCTTTATGAGTGCCTTAGTCGAGCATGGGGTCAGTTTTAAGAATTAAGCTTTGCAACTCTTATGTATGACTTGAGCATTGCCATTTAATGTGATGGATGCTAGTAAGGTTTGATAGAAAAAGTTATCAAAATATTTGCATAAAGGAATCAAATTGTGGTTCAGAGAAAGATTTTTTACCTGGTGTATATCTGGAAAGTGTTTCGTGAGTTCTGCTCCCTGAGCCCGGTCTGGGGCCAAGCTCGACGCACTAAGTTTATTTATTAAGCATCAATAACCAAAAGGACTCCTGCAGTATGTAGGAATCTCATTCCCTATGCCAAAGCAACAAAACTGATGCAAAAAGCATGAAGCTTCTTAACCCAACAACTGGTAGCAAACTTCAACACACAATCCAAAATTATGATGATGGCTCCTGAGATGAACACCTGATCTGGTTAAGCCCCAAAAATAGTTGCACTACTAAGCGCACAGGTAGACCTACTCTTGCCTAAACAACCAATGTACTAGAACCCCTACCTCCTGGATTCCAAAAAAAGTGGGTACCGGACTAACCTGAAGTCAGAATTGGAGCCACTTCTCGCAGCTGAAACTTCTGGGAAGGAAGGTAAAAAGATGAACCTGTTAAAGCCAAAACCCATGAAACCTCCACCTCCAGCAAGAGAGAAGAGAGAAGAGAACAGGATAAAGGGAAAAGAAAGCAAAAAAGCAGACTCCTGGTAAGAATCCAAAATGGAAAGTGGCAGGCACAATGAGTTGCATATAAATCTGTTACCTTGTCCTATAGGAGTGGGACAAACAATTTTGAAACTACATCCATGACTGCAGCAGTAGACAACAAGGCAAGAGGACAATGGGAAGCTCAGAATGGGGACCAATAATCATCCAGAAACAGTTTGGATAAGACCTGCACTGCACAAATAAGAGGACCTTCGCCAAGAACACTCAAACTTTATAGTCCGCTGAAGGCAACTGGGGCACTGACATCGTGGGACAAGGCAAAGGCAAACAGGATTGTTCAGTCAAAAAGGAAGGGTTCTCAAGCAAAACCTGAAAAACTGGAGCAGTCTCCTTCCAGGCAAGCACTCCTGCATGACATTATAACTGCCATTTTTCTAAAGAAAACAAAAGGTTGTCTTCCAGCCAGGATTAAGTCATCATCTCATACTTCAACCAGAAAGTAGAAAAGGACCCATCCTCCTTTTGAATTTGGATCTGATTCAAGAAGATGGGACAATGACACTTTTGCAGGAAGAGTGGGTGGGGAGAGTTGGGAATGTGGACAAATGCAGGCCATGAATTAGAGCCGAGAAAACACACCCGAAGAGGAGCAAAGATTGTATAAAGCTCATACTGGCATAAGAGATAATAGAATATGTGCATACTGAGCAAAAAATTTCACATCCCTTTGTGAACAAGCAGGAGAATACTGTATTTAGCTATTCTATAATACATAGAATTGTGTGTTACCTGATTTGCGTAACTATAGGGCCTTCTGTACCAGCTACAATAATTGTATCTCCTTCACGAAGTCTACCATTTACCAGGATTACATCTATTGTCGTACCATGACCCTGTATGGTTTTGACTTCTAGGACGGTGCACTAAAAACAAAATAAACAAAATTTAACTGGCATTTATGCTATAGATGTGAAATTCATTATTGTAGTGCTGTTCCAGCATGAAATAACTAATATCCACAGAAAATAAAAATTATTTATTTTATATACCTATACAATCATATCATAGATATACAATAATTAAAAAATTTGCTGCTGATAATTATTTGAGATACTGTATTGTATACTACACACATCATATACTGTATATACAAATTCACGTTTCTCAACTTGAAAATTCGTCATTACTACATACCTGTAGTTGCTCAGAAAACATTAATCTCTTGTTTAATCTTTGCTGACACATATCACATACCATAGCAATTAAATTACCCATTCCATCACCCGAGATGGCACTAGTGGGCACTAGAGAAACATAGGAACGAGGATCAGGGTTCTCCCAAAACAAGGCAGCATTCAAGCCCTATGGAATAAGAGACATTCAATGAAATATTCAACTACTATATGGTAAAAATGTGGTTTAGGTAATTTACTTTACCTGCAATTTATACACAGAAAAAGATACATTATTCTATGACAACTATCAATTTAATTCACTTATATTTTATATTCATACAGTATCATCCAACTGTTTCTAATATGTGGTTAAGGCTCTCAGAAAGGATAACAGCTTGAAGATGTACACTATTTAGAAATATTTTTATCTTGAGCTTTTATGTCCCTATCTCCTGAAGTGGAAAACATGGCACTCATGACGGGGCAACTAAATGATAAATGTTTTCTTTGGGTAAAATTTTATATTTGTGTTTCTAGGGACTATTTTATTATTCAAAGAAGCCTGTTATGGAAAACGACATTTTGTTCATTTACCAAATTGTCTAATGGAAAATTAAATTATGGAATGACAGTACTTACTATATAGTACAGCATAATGTTATGCCTTTGTAAACCCAATAACTTGGGTATCTTTGCAATATTCTATACAATTCCTCATTATGTGAACATTGTAAGTTTGAATTAAATCAAGCATTAAATATAATGAAATGAACTTTTCTTAGCAGTGTCCACTGCTTTCTGGCAATGGCTTTGGTACCACAGTGACAGACACCCAACTAGCTACCAGGCCTCTAGAATTTCAGCTTATCAAATACAGTAACCATAATCTGGTGTACTCATAGAGGCAAGAGGAACATGGGGTTCCCACCTAATGACTGTGTAAAAACCACACAAAGCACAAGTGAAGCAAAACAATGTATCTTCAGTAGATGATACATACAGGAAAGTGGTTCCCAATGCCAACAAACCAAGTTTAATACCAGATGTCATCTCAGGTCACCACCAAAGGTTACACCTACCTGCCCACCTCACTCACATACTACTACAAAATGACCCTTAGGAAAGAAAAATAAAAAGGTTATCTTGAGATGATTTTGGGGCTTAGTGTCCCGATACTCGACCAACCTCCTTTTTGTTACACATCCCCAAGAAGCAGCCCGTAGCAGCTGCCTAACTCCCAGGTACCTATTTACTGCTAGGTGAACAGGTGCATCAGGGTGAAAGAAACTACTTGTTTCCGCCTACACCGGGAATCAAATCCGGAACCTTAGGACTATGAATCCTGAGCGCTGTCCACTCATCCATCAGGCCCCTGTCCATTCAGCCGTCAGGCCCCGTAAGGTTGAGTAGCCATCAGGTAGGGTAAAGAAAGCTACAGCGAAGCCTCGATTTTATGAATCTTTAGTTGCAACACACTCATTTTTAAACCTCATTCTGGAGACATTCATGTATCAACACATTAAGCAGACCACAAGAATGAGGGAAGGGGATGTTCCATCAATACTGGATCTAATATACACCAGGAAAGAAGCAGATATTTGACAACCAGTACCTTTCTCCCTTGGGAAAAAATGATCACGTCCTGTTGGAAATTTAATATGCATTGCGACAATCTAGAAGAGAATGGGGACAATGAAACAGTTGATAAACTGCAATTTTAAGAGAGGACACTATGGGAAACTTATAAAATATTTTAATGAATTTAATTGGACAGACTTGGTGCTAGGCAAGGACGTAAATGAGATGTATTGCAAATTTTGTAAAATATACGATGAAGGCACACAAATATTCATATTAAAACAGAGATCAAGGACCAGAAAACAGAAACTGTGAGAGGGCCAGAGAGAAAAGGAAAAGAAAATGGGTTTAATATAGGAAGAGGCTCAACCCTCAAACATACCATCACTACAAGCAAGCAAGAAACAAATACACAGAAGTCAGGAGAGAGAAAAGCACTTTGAGAGGGGGATAGTGGACAAATGTAAAACAGATCCAGGCCTTTTCTATAAATTCATTAAAAGCAAGCTGCAGGTGAAGGATAAAATCCAGAGATTGAGAACTGGGAACAGGATTACTGAGAATGAAAAAGAAATGTGTGACATGCTAAATGAACAATTCCAAAGTGTGTTTATACAAAATAAGGATTTGAGAGTGCCAGGCCCAATGCCACTTCCAGAGCACACCATAGAATACATAGAGGTATTTCAAGACGAAGTGGAAAAGTTACTCAAGGGGCTACGAAGAAATACAGCAGTTGGACCAGATGGGGTTTCACCTTGGGTGCTGTGAGAATGTCCAACTGAGCTGAGAATTCCACTCCAATTAATATTCCAGTCATCCTTGTGCACAGGAATCTTAGCAGATATGAAAAAAAGCAAACAATTTCAATCTATAAAAATGGAAGCCGAGAAGAACCGGGCTGATGTGCATATATTAGACCGTGGCAACAGTCACTCGATGGAGTTCTAGGCCTACTGGGGACCAGAGCCAGAACCTGGCCCCCTCAAGAAGAAGCACAAGGAGCAATGGCCAAAAGACACCCCCGTGTAATTGGAAGCAGTTTTGTCTGCCATCTACCAGGTCAGGCACCCAGAAAGGTAGGAATTCCGAAACAAACTACTGCTGGTCAAAAATTGCAAACCGAAAGTCGAACTAGCAAGCAGAATTACCCAATCAAAAACAAGTAAACAAGCATGACGTCACCACAACCGCCGCACATCTGTCTGCGCAACTCCCCTCCTCCTTGGGTAGGGGACAGGGGGGGGGGGGGTTCCCAAACCTCCCTACCGGCTACTCTCCTCAGTTCAGAGGCTGAATATCAAAAACGTGAAAAAAACAGCATTTTCTGCGCGAGACCTGGAGGCTTCCCGGAACTATCCAGGCTGATATGTATTATTAGACTTTGGCATCAGTTAGTGTGAATGGAGTTCTAGGCCTACTGGGGACCATGAGCCAGAACCTGGCCCACTCAGAGGCATGAGGAGCAATGGCCTATAGAAGTGCAAATGTGTTTGAAACATTCTGTGTCTGCCATCAACCAGGTTGGGGACCCAGAAAGGTAAGTGCCTTAAAACAAACCCCTATCCTGGTTAAAACTACTACTGAAAGCTAACAATTGGACAGAACTCCCCAAATGAAAAACGAGCAAACGAGCATGACGTCATGATGTGATGAAGCTTGGTGTTATGGCTCCAGCTCCTGATTCTCTCAGTGTTGTGCTGTGCCTTGTGTCCAGTACTGCTCTTACAGTGGCATGTGAGCTGGGAGTAATATTCACAGGTACTCAGGCTGCATGTGCTTAGGGTTCCCTTCCACAAGTGCCCTGTAAGTACCACCCTTGGGGCTTGGGGTTATCTTCCACAAGTCACCTTGGGGTCTACCTCTGTTGCTCTTTTGCTGCTCGGTAATTGACTGCTCAGAGTGTTTTTGGGGGTTTCTACCCTTGTTTACCTTGGGGTAAGTAGTAGTTTTTGCACGGGTAGGGGCACGGGGTACTGCGCAGCTAGTTCTCACCTATTACAGTGCCTGGCTGTTCCTTCTGGGAATGTTGTCCTCTTGTGTGGTTTTTCTTTTCATTTTTTGTTTGTGCTTGGTGGGGAAGGGGGAAGTCTGCTTTTGTTCCCCGGCCTCCTGTTATTTTAGGGTCTTGACTTCTTGTGTTCGGTGGTACCCCCTGCTTGGCCCCCCTCCACTGTGAGTGGACACATCCTGGGGGTTCAGTTTTTAGCAGTTTGACTGGTAGACTTGGACGCCGGTTATCAGTACCCTGCCTGGGCTTACCCTTAAAGATAACAGTCAAAGGGCCCTGGGAAACCTCGTGGGGATTCAAGGGGTCCAATGGATGCGACCCCCTGGGTCCCCTCTCACCTTGTGTGAGTTTGAGGGTTGCTCTATCCCCTTGTCTCAGAGGGGACGCTCATTGCTTTTGCCTCCGTCATGCTGCCTGTTGGGTCGGTGATACCTGGTTGATGGGGTTCTGGGAGTTCTTTTACTCATCAAGCCCGGCCCGAGGCCAGGCTTGACTTGTGAGAGTTTGGTCCACTAAGCTGTTGCTTGGAGCGGCCCGCAGGCCTACATACCCACCACAGCCCAGTTGGTCCGGCACTCCTTGGAGGAATAAATCTAGTTTCCTCTTGAAGATGTCCACGGTTGTTCCGGCAATATTTCTTATGCTTGCTGGGAGGATGTTGAACAACCGCGGACCTCTGATGTTCATACAGTGTTCTCTGATTGTGCCTATGGCACCTCTGCTCTTCACTGGTTCTATTCTGCATTTGCTTCCATATCGTTCACTCCAGTACGTTGTTATTTTACTGTGTAGATTTGGTACTTGGCCCTCCAGTATCTTCCAGGTGTATATTATTTGATATCTCTCTCGTCTCCTTTCTAGTGAGTACATTTGGAGGGCTTTGAGACGATCCCAATAATTTAGGTGCTTTATTGCGTCTATGCGTGCCGTATATGTTCTCTGTATTCCCTCGATTTCAGCAATCTCTCCTACTCTGAAGGTGGAAGTGAGTACTGAGCAGTACTCAAGACGGGACAACACAAGTGATTTGAAGAATACAACCATTGTGATGGGATCTCTGGACTTGAAGGTTCTCGTAATCCATCCTATCATTTTTCTGGCTGACGCAATACTTGCTTGGTTATGCTCCCTAAATGTTAGGTCGTCGGACATCATTATTCCCAAATCCTTGACATGCTGTTTTCCTACTGTGGGCAGATTTGATTGTGTTTTATACCCTGTATTATGTTTAAGATCCTCATTTTTGCTCCGGAAAGCTCAGTGATGACGTCACAATCTGCATGTTCGCTCATGCAGTACACGCCCCAAAGGCGTTGCGCGCGGTCCTCAAACAGCCAGAGTTGCCACAAATATATTTTCGCGCTATTTATTTACAATATCTAGGCGCATTTTATCCAATTTGTTTACATATTTACACACTCGCACACGCTATACACACTTTGAAGCACACTTAGAAGTATTCTAGACTGTGGTAGTCATTGAAGCAGTCGACAGCACATAATGGGATACCACACGTTTCACACCATGTTTCCACAAGCTTCCGTTTGTCTCTACGTGTCGTTGTTTTACACACCAAGCAATCACGTTGGGCTATTGCA